CACAACACAATGCAACGCATATGTGTAAAACAATTTCTTTGATGAAACACATCCAAAGATCATTTTGAAATAAATCATATGTCATAAAACCATTTCATTCTTGGATGTTTTCCATCAGATGAATAATTTATATATCAAAATCATGTGCCTTTATGGGGTATCGAATTCAGGAATCGCACCTCCGGCTTCGTACGCCGTTACACTTTTCTGGAATTTCACCGCCGGTAAGTGTATGAACCAAGTGGCCAAATTTTTCACCCGAGGGAGTATCTAGCCCTACTTGCTATACCCGACACAAGTTTTCTTATGCATGTAACCGTGCGACTCCGTAGGACATTCCATCCCACTTTTTCGAGCCCACCATCAAGCACCAATGTTGGTGTTGATCACCCCATGCAACTCTACACCCACACTCATGCATGTAGCCCATGAATGTGATGTCAATTCCATGTCCATATTGCAATGCATGCCAAATGAACAATTTTTTTTTACATATCAATGTATATCATGGTAATTTATATCATTTGTATATAATCACAATAACCATTTCAAGTTCAATATATCCAAGAACATATATCAACACTTCATCAACATGATAACACATAATACATGCTAATATCACATTTTATTCACAAGGCATAATATAAAACACAAAGCATGCCCACATGATCCCAATTTCTAAGGGATTACATAAATACTTCCATATACCAAAATCAAGCCAAGATTTTATATGGACTATTTCAAGCAAAATAAAAATCAGAATATATGATTTTTACATAACCAATTATCGAAACATTCTAGAAATCACAAACTAACACTTTCTAACTACCAATTCACACTAGAATTGATCTTACACATTTCCATAACACCAACCATAATGGAAAAATGTTAGAAATACCCAAAACAGCCCACATGAACCCTATGGACACCTTAGGTTAGAAATAGGTCCAAGTAGGAGGAACTCTACATCTTGAAGCGTAAAGAATTCGTAGAAAACCTCAAGAACAAGATTCAAGCCCAAAGTTTAGATTTCTCCAGAATCCTCCCTTTGGATCTTCGATAAAATCTTTGTTTTTGGTACCCATGCGTAGCCCTCGTCGCGTAGATCGACTTTAATTCTTGGCCCGACAAATTTCGACCAATGGAACTCCGAGAATCGGCGGAAGAAAGCTTGAAGAATTTATTTTTTTTTCCTCTTTACTCTTGGATCTGATCCAGCCGGCCAAATGAAGAGAAAACATCTGATTTGTCAGATATTTGCCCACTTTTATACTTTTTAAAGACTTAGCCCTCGTCGCGCCAAGTGTCCTCCTTTGTCCGGGTCCGTTTTCGCCCGGAAACGATTAAATTTCGTACCGATTTAAGCTCAAAATATTTTATATGAACTTTATTTAAAATATTTTTTAACTTTTAAAATTTTTATAAAAAATTCGTTTTTGGGGATCACTGGACACTTATCGCCTTGAAAAACGTAAAAAACTCGATTATCTCAAAATTCGACGAAAATTGACAGGGCAGCTCGGTTTCGTGATGCGAATTCAACGGTAAGATCTGTTGCTTTATTCGAGCTCTAGAAAAATATTAATTTTAATCTCGCATAACAGTGACAAATTACAATTTTGCTCTTTATCGGAAAAAGTTCAAATTTTTTTCGGATTTCACACTTTTGGATAACGTTGTAAATATTATGAATGATAAATAAAATTATCTTAATTATAGATATTATTAGTTGCTCTCGTGTTGTGAATGATTTTTTTATTGTAATGTCATCCAACGTGAATTTTGGGACGTTACAACATCATCTCAACAAATTGTTTTAGAGATGTAGGAAGTGACTCATAAAAAAACCTATAATATGCCATGTATCAAATCCATGGTGAGAGAATGTTTGTAAAAGTTTTTTGAACCGCTCCCAATATTCATAAAAAGTTTCACCATCTTTGACGGTTACATTCATTATTTGCTTTTTGAGAAATGTGGTTCAATGTATTGGAAAGAATATTTTAAAGAACTCTTTTGTTTATCTTGCCGACTATGAATTGACTTGTAAACAAAAAGTTTTATCAGGCTTCAAAGTTGGATCGATTGGTTCACTAGGCTTGACTAGTGCACTAGATAGGGACATGAAAGTGAAAGGACATCTATCACCTACATTACAGACTCTAATTTATTTAGCTTTTTTCTTTCTTTGGTCACTTGAGATCCTTTGGTGCAGTGGATATAGACTATAAACTTTTCATTTTCCTTTGACTTATAGTACATTCAACGATATCTTAAATCTTTGCCTCTCTGTTTCTCAAACTCATTGTCGCACAACTACTCAAAAATAAAAGGTTAAAATTTAATTTTTGATCTGAAAAAGGATAATCAATTTACGTAAAGTAATAATCATATTTTATATATATATATATATTTTTATGTTGTGTTTTGTAAGGGTATTGTGTAGGGCTTTTGCCAGGGGCATCGATTTTTATCGAACTGATCCTACTACTAGAATTCTTAGGCAATAAAGTTGTTGAACAAAAAAAAAACCTTATATTTGGATTTGCATTTAAATATTTTTGCATCAATTTTAGCCTTACAAATATAGATAATCTAGTTGTCCCTTTGAATTAGTTGGATTTGGTTTGTGTAAATTATTTAGCAATTTGAAGTTTCAAATTCCCTCCCTTGAGAAATAATTACTTCTCTCTCAATTTTATTTTGATTCAACTTTATAATTGTTGAATTTTTATGTTAAAAAGTAGAGACACGAATTTCGCTCGCCAGTACACACACATTAGTTAAATTCTAGGGTAAAATGCAAAAAAAATTCCTTGTACTTAGGATTATTTACATGTGTTCAACTTGAAAATAAAGTATAAAAATGGATGGACGATACTAATTTAACAAAACATGTTAATCACATGCTCAAAATTACATGTGAAGTTAAAAATGTGTCAAAATTATAATTTATAATTCCTAAAATACCATCATGTCCCCCATCGTTTTTCTCTTTTCCCTCCTACACATATCTCCCTTTCTTTCCCTCAAGCCCCTGACTCCCCAAACCATCCATCAGTCTGTCTCTCTCTCTCTCTCTCTTACACATAAACACATACACACCTTTTTGTGAATTGTGACCCATTTTTTTTTGAAATTTCTCCTCTTTCTCTATGTGATTTAATTATATTTTTTTTGTTTTTTTGGTGATTCGATGGAGGTGTGTGGGGAGATTAATGGTTGTGTTAGTGGTTTTGTGAAGATTTGGTTAAGTTTGTGTGAAAGTAATTTAAGAAGTAAGTTTGTGAAGACGATTCAAAATTTTGTGGGGTTGTAAAGATGAATGGTTTTGGGGGTTCAGAGAAGGATGACAAGGTGTTAGTTTGTGATAGTGATGTTGGTTGTGGAAGGATGGGAGAGGGAAAGGTATAGAGAGAGAGGAGGTTTGAGGCTGAAGAATGATATTAAAATCAAAGTTAAGTGGTTAAATGAAGATATTTTTATATTTTTATAAAATTTATAACGTTTTATTTTTAAGTTGAGAAATTTAGTACAACAATTAAAACTACTAGGAAGTCACATATAAACCACTGTATTGGTTTTTTTTCACCCTAAATTCTGTTCCTTGTCTCATCTACTCTGACAATACAAACGTGCCTGCTAGAAGCAACTCTTTTATTTTAGGATTAATTATAATTTGTCCTTTTCAAGTTTAGGTCATGTTTTAATTGACTCTCTCTGGTTTCAATTTCAACAATTTGCCCCCTTCAAGTTTTAAATGAACTAAATTATATAACTGGTTGAAAAAAATTTGTAAAATAACTTTTGCACCCTTGAGACTTTATTGACACCCAATCGATTTTATTTTTTCTTTCTCCTTCCTTTGCCCATATTGGCGACCAACTCCAATGCCACCATCGCCCCCAACACAGCCATCACCAAGCAACTACCACCACCTCCATCGCCCCCAACACATCCTTCACCAAGCAACCACCACTACCACCAACAACTACCAAACCAAGCAACACCCACCAGCTACCAACCAACCAAAAGGAAAGGAGAAAATCAAGAAAGAAGAAGCCTAATGCAAATGTCATCTACTAACCTTGGCCACCATGGTTGCTGTAAAATTACCAAGACCCATAGCAAATGGGAAAAATCTTTGAGAGAGAGAATCCATTGACACCGAAATGGGTCTGGTGAGCCTCCAACCCCTTTTCTGTACTTTGACAGTGCCCCCAACCCCCACCTCTTGCTCCCGCGGTCTCCCAACCCCCATCTTTTGCTTCGGCTTTCCCCCAACCCCAAACCCTTGCTCTATCAGTTCCCTCGAACACCCACCCCCTGCTCCAGCAATCCCATCCCCATACCCAATGCCAACAGCACCCCAAAACCCACCTCCGAAAAAACTAAAACTAAAACTTATCCACACACCCCCAATCCTCACTTCTACCAAGCAACCCTTGCCCACCCCTCTATAAATAACAACCCAAGTAATACAGTTTTGAACGCCTCATTCGAAGTTCCTTTGCCATTTATAGCTTTTTCGTTCATCGGCCATCCGAACAAACTCGAGGCGGTGGAAGAAGCTCTTGTCGCGATTGCATCGATAAACCTCTGAACAATGCCTAGGGTATTCTCCATCGGCATCAATTGATGGGTTTCGTTTTCACTGGGTATGGATGAGTTTCGTTTTCACTGGGGGGGGGGGAGCGGATAATCACCGATTAAGGGAAGGTGGGGTTTTATTGGGTTTTTGCACTTTTGCTTGTGGAGGGTTGAATTGTTTTTGGATTGAAGGGTATAAATGTCTTTTAATGGTATTAATGTTGACTTTTATCAATTTAGACAGTCAAGAAAAACGGCAATGACGTAATTGAGATATGTTAAAACTTGAAGGGGGCAGATTGTCTAAATTAAAACCACGAGGAGCTGATTGAAACACGACCCAAAATTGGAGGGGGCATTTTATAATTAACCCTTTACTTTATTTTTTTTTCTTTTCTTTTCCGAACCACCTTTGACATCTGGACAAACAGTCGCACCAGCAAATTCACCAAGATGCTGGTGCTGCCCACCTCATCATTCCCTCCATTTCACCTCAGAGCTACGAACCTCCCTGCTTTTACTACTAATGCCATACGCCGAATTGGCCATGACTCATCTGTTGTCAGTCCAATAAAATACAGACGAGGGACGTGGATCCTAAACAGAAACCCAACTCAAATTTCGTCATCAAACGACAATCAGACGGTGGTGGTTGATGAAAAATGTATTTTAGTTTCCTCTTCGACTGTCGTGAGGAAGTTCTATGATGGAATCAACAGCCACGATTTGGCTTCCGTGGAGGGCCTCATTGCCGAGAACTGCGTCTACGAGGACCTTATCTTCCCAAAACCCTTCGTTGGTCGCGAGGTACCTGTCTGTCTCCCACTTCTTTTTATCTTGTGGTAGTTATTGGCGCGGCTTTAGTCCAAGCCTCTTCAGCCCAAGTATTTTGGTTTTCAGTGTGGGCTGGACCAGGCCAGGCCTGTTGTTTCTTATGTTCAAATTTGTATGTCTGTACTCATTTGGTATTAGAAAAAGGCTAAAGTGGGTCGTCCTTATCTGCACACGGGTACGGTGTCTACGCGACCCTGATTTACTATGGCACCAGTCATAGCTGTGGCAGAGTCGCAGATGAATATAATTCACGAAGGCGACCTCAAAATTATAATGATAGGTCTTTGTCGGGTCAAGTTGAGGGTAATGCTACAAATTTCATGATGTGGTTCACTAATATACTTGAAGACTAATGGACCACTAAAATTTGGATTTTTTTTGTTTTTTGATAGGAAACAGATACGCCTGTGTTTAAATAGAAAATGGCAGTACATCAGAAAGAACAGATTGGATAAGAAATCCAATCATAATCAATGGAGAATTACAGGAAAAATTGAAAAGCAAAAAGATAAAAGAAGTCTATAAATCACATGATCTCCGTCCTGCTAGTATAGCAAACAGTAGAATCCTATTTGAATACAAAAATACTATTGTCACATAATTCTTAATCCTAGCTAGAAATTCAATTTCTCTATATATACGGTTCCGAGCATAGAACCTAAAGTTTTTGATATTGAGACTATTTTTGTTGGAAGACTTACTAGCTGCTGATTTTTGTGTTTCTGTTTTATATGTTTGTTCTTTATATTTTGAGAATGGAAATGGGCGCAAATTACTAGGTTATTAATGGACAAGTGAACAAGTAGTCTCGAAACTTCATCTTAAGGTTTATAACTTCACCTCTTACATTCTTATACTAGGCAATTTTATTCATGTACCAGATGTATTATAAAATTAATTTATGCGAACATGGTACGCTTCCATTTTGATCTTTGTGGGAATCATACTAGAGGTGAAAAATTAAATCTAAGAAGGCATGCTCTGCAGAGGAAGACTAATATAATAGCACCCTATCTTTCTGTCACTTATAAAAGTAGCTCAATATAGGACACACTTAAATTTAACATCATATTATCTTATATGCTAAACTTCTAGAAATGCATGTTGACCATCTACATTTTGATTATGTCATGCTCAAAGTTTTTAAAATTGAGATCCTACCTTGGATTGATGGGAGATGGTAAAGGATTGGGATTGTAGGACCGGATCGTGAATTGTGACATCCTACACTTTGGCACTAGGTCCAATGTGAGTTGGATAGTTTAGCCATGCTTCATAATTGGAAAAACGAGCACCATGGAAATACATGCCACTCAGCCAAAGAAAGATAATGGAGAGTTGTCAAATATGGAAAATGTCGAAACGGTATGACTATATTTTAGAATCTAGAGATATCATTGAAAGTTTAGAAATTAAAATTTGAGCATTGAAGAGGGTTGAAAATTAAAGCTTGGGGGATTTTGCAAAGAATAAGAGAATTGAAGTATTTTTATTTTAACTTTTGGAGAGAGACAGAGATACACGATAGATCACAAAATTTTAGAAATTGTCTACTCCACTATTTTTTGGGAGAATAGGTTCTTGCTGTCACTCATCTCATTCATCAGATTCCCTCTATTATTACTCTGGATGTTTTTCCTTTAGAAAGATTTGGTAAAACATCCCGACTATTTCTCAATGTGTTTTTGGTTGTACTTGTTTTGTTCTTCTTCCTAAAGTTGAATGAATTAAGTTATCTACTCGTCTGCTATATGTATTTTTCTTGGTTATGGTGAGGGACAAAAGGATATCGGTGTTATCACTTTATGGCCAAAAGATTATATGTATCTACTATCTAGACATGTGGTCTTTCTTGAGTATACTCTTTTCTTTTCGATTCTTTTTGCTTGTGACACATTTAACACACCTGATGTGATTTGTATTGACCCTTTCCTCAATCATCATGGTTTAAAGTATTAGTCGATACCAAAATGAGTCGGTCGAGTAATATCTGACTCGACCCCTATCGAGATGATACCGGTATACAATACATATAAACTTTGAGTACCGCATAATTCCATCGATTTGTCCGAGTTGTATCTGAGTTAATCTCGAGTCACCGAGTTGTCGTCACTGAATCGGCCGATAAAGTTCTTCAACACTGCGATATGACCTGAATTTCTTGTCATGTACAACATTTTTTTTTAGGTCGTATCGCTCGATATTACGACGCGCAAGGATCGAAATATCGTTTTGGTGTTCTGTTTCGGCCAACTTAAAAACGGAAACGTTTCGAAAATGTATAAAAAATATTGAAACACGTGAAAACACAAATACAATCTATTTATTTATAAAGATAAGCTTAATAGTTGATTAATTTAGCATATTTATTGGGTTAACATCTATTTATACAAGATAACATCAACTTGGAGGAAAAAAAGACTTGACATGAGGCATAAATTACTTAAATTAGTCTTAAACACTTAATTTTCATCAAGCAAATACATTTTTACATAATGCTAAGGTTTCATAATACAAATGAAGTGCTAATAAGTACATACCTACATGACTATATCCACCCCATTCAGATTATTGAGCAGACTCATACATCGGTGTAGGCTCTGGATAGTCACTTAGAGAAGCTCTGTATGTGGCATAAATGTGATGACAATAGTTAGTCCAACATTAAGAAGATAATATGAATCATACTCTCTCCTGATCATATGATAGTTCGTAATACTATATCTAATCTGCTGGGAAACGAATGCACAAGTCCCTGACCAACCATCATCTTGTCTATATGAGAAGGATGTCCGGGAGTCATGGCTAAATCCATAACCATATGTTGAAGTTCAATATTCGTATCCTAGTGTGTCATACCCCGATCCATAATCATATGAGGGAATGTCATATCCAGAACCATAACCATATGAAGACGACAAACCATAATTATGGTCTTCACTTCCACTTTCACTTCTATTTTCACTTACACTCATAGTAGAAAAACCATCATTAATCATATCAACTTCATGCCTAATAGCACCCATACCATTTGGAGTGATTGGAGTTTGATATTTTTTCTTCAATCATCATTGCAGGTAATTCTACAATTCTTTAAGAAGTTCACTGATTCTGTCAGCACCGATCTGCAGTTTGTTATTGATGATATATCTGATGAGGATACTGCAGTAGTTGGGGTTACCTGGCACCTAGGTATGTTCACGACTACTTTTTCTTACAATTGTCTTGTTCATGTGTAAATAGTAGCTTTTTGTTTGGTTCCTTGACAAACAACTGACAGTAAAAATAATATCAGAATGGAAGGGAAAGAATTTTCCTTTTAGCAAAGGATGCAGCTTTTATCGGTTGGAGGTAGTGAAGGGCCAGAGACAAATAATGTGAGTGAGACTTTCATCTTCATAGGGTGACCTCCCCCCCCCCCCCCCCCCCCCCCCCCCCCCCCCCCCCCAAAAAAAAAAAAAAGAAGCTGAACTTAAAAGTCCATCTTTGTCTAAAAGTGAGATGTAGAGAAGATTATTTTGATTGTGTAACTATTGAAGGTAGAAGAGTGGGCATGTTATTTGTATTTTCTTATGTGGTTCTTTGTCTCCAAGATAAAAAACCAAGCATTAGCCAAAGACCTTTTTTTGATAATCTTGATTGTCAGGTATTGTTTTTTTTTTTTCAAATTATTAAGAGAAAATATTCAATTTTTTAATGTAGAATCACATAACATACTTTGTGTGAAACATATTCATTCTTGAAAGGTTGCATGTTGAATATCAGCATTTGGTGACTAAACTCACATGGCAATGGTTACCCCTCACACCCTATCCACAAAAATACCCCCACTCTTACATTGACAGTAACTTTACCAATTAATGATAACTTAGCTTTGGAACTCTTTATGAGTTTATTGGCATTTAATCATATGCTTGATCAATGTCAGCTCAACCAGTTGTAAAGCTAAAGACGTTATTAGAACATGTCTTTATCAGGAAGAAGGTGATATTTTAACCTTATAGAATTGGTTAAGTAGGCCACTTCAGGATCTATATAAGATTGGTAGCAAAAATCAAATCATCCCTGCAGTCTAAATTAGAGCTGAGCCATGGTGTAAACAGTTTGTATTGGTTTGCATCAGTCAGTTAATTTATAAAGAAGTGCCCTTTTGTTAGAGTCAACCAAGTTATGAAATATATTTTCAAAACACAATTGTCTACAGCATTAAATTATTGCATAAAAAAAATTGTTCGATGGTCTATATATGATGGTTTCACAACTTGGATACGGTTCAAGTTTACCCAAGAATGGAGCACTGTACTCATGTCTGGACAGTGTTAATCTCCCTCTCCCCCCCCCCCCTCTCTTAATATCTGGAAGAAACTTGATGATTATCGAATATTCACTAAGCATTTTAGAATGTTGTCACCAAATACTGATAATTAGTGAACACTGGCTTTGAGAAAATTATATTAGAATCAATCACTCAAAATGCTTTCTGCAAAGTTAGAAAATTGACCATGCCAATTCACATCTAATAAAGTAGTATATTTGATGATAACTATGAAATAAAGACTATAGAACTCAAGTTAAAAGTAGTAACCATATGAATGTTGCAAAATCTAGAGTCTGAATCATATTGGAGTGAAGCAAATATATTTTTACTCTTTTCACAGATTTTGGGAGGTAAACAGTGTTGATAAAGACAAACCAACCAAAATTTAAATTGCTTGCTTTTTTGGAAAGTTCTTACACTTGACATTTTGAGTATTTGTCTGGGGATCTTGTTGCATATCAGATACATACGTACACAAATTAATGGGTATTTGTATTTTTCTTTTGTTGATAAAAAACTGGTTAAAGGGCATTTCACTCATTTTAGAGTTTAATCCTGAATTCTTTTAGCTGAACCTAAGTGAGGATTATTTTGGGTCTTTTGGGTGTTTATCACAAAGTTCTTATGTTTGGGGTGTTGAGCGATTATGTAGTTCTTTGGTATTTTATGTGCAAAATATGGTAGTGGCTTACTTTAGATGCGTTGGGTAGCATAAATAGAAATGGTCAGTCTCTTTTCCAGCATATTTTGAATATTTCAAAAGGAGGATTCCTAGAGAGAGCTACCACTCCTAAACCATCTAGGGTTAGCAAGACTTGGAGGCTTAGGGTTTGAGGATTTGACACAGTGGCGGCTCTGATCCCTATATCACTGCAATAACGCAGAAGGCTAGTACAAGTCACTGTTCTGCTCTATTTACAGATCTGAACAGAGCCAGAATAACCTTCGAAACTAGCCAGGCTTGAGATTTAGAGGCTAGTTGTAAATCTGTCACTGTTATATGCACCCAATGCTAGAAAAATGCAGCAGTTTTTATTGGTTTCTTCTTTAGTTCGGTTTACAAAAATTCCAGAATATGTGTCCTTTCAAGATCTGAGCACAATACCTGATTCTTGTTGTAAACTTTGATTGCAAAGTTGAATGAGAATGAAGAGAAAGAGAAAGTCTTATTGCAGCTGCATTTGTCTGCTTACAATATTAAGAGAAAAGATACTGAATAAAAACCCTTTACATTAGTAAAAATGTAAATTTAGTAAAAATGTGAATCAACACTATTTCGACAAAATTTAATTTAGTAAAAATGTTTATTTCTAAATATTTGATTGAATTTTCAATTATATTGGAGTAATTAATCCTAGTTATTGCTAAACATAGGTCCCATTCCTTCTAAGTTCATTTCATTATCACCTTCACTTTATTCCCATGTAAAAACATTATCACGTACATTGTCTCAATTGTATGAGTGTTTGATAAGTGAGGTTGCTATGTAACATTTGATGTATACTTTAGTTGAGTGAGTAGATAACCTTTACATGGGAAGCTCTTCCAATAAAGCGGTAAACTTAGCATAATGTATTGCAAGTGACTTTTTTTTATATTAGATCTCACGAATTTTCTTTGAAGGTCATATGCCTTGGCATCTTTGCCTCTATGAGGGTATATGTGAGGCACAATAGTCCAAATCTCATTAGCAATATCAAGCAATAGAAAACCACGATTGATATGAGATTGCATTGAATTAAGTAACCAAGACATAACTAGGGCATTTTTATATGTCCATTTCTTAAAGGAATAAGCTATCTCACTAGGCTTCGTGGTATCTCCAATCAAATACTCATCCAAAGAAATAGCTTGGACTATAACAAATAAGCTTGTGACTATGTCAAATAATTGCTTTCGTCCTACTTCTTCAGACTAATTTGAAGGGATGGGTTATTTGCAAGCGTCCTAAGATGGCTTAATCCACCCCTTAATATTGGTAGAAGTCACAGTAGCGTCTGACATATCTTGACAATTGGACACACACAATAGAAGCAAATATTCACATAAAACAACAACCTAGGACGAGCTTTGAACCTTTGACAAACAAAAACTCAATCAGAAGGCCAAAAAATGTAGCCAAACAGCCCCTATCAGATTTGTTGTTTCTCAAATCCATTAAAAAACCATTTGACGAGTTTTCTGAGTCTTAAGTCCTTTGGCTTCGAGTTTCAATGAGTCTTAAGTCCTTTTGGCTTCGATCGGTGTTCTGATACCAAGTTATATTGTGAAATTCATGGGTTTTAGGATGAGTGAAAGGTTTGGGAGAGAAGAAAGAAAAATATTACGTAGAGAGTGGTGTACGAGGTTACATAACTTCACCCTAGCCTTTATATAAGGAGAAGGGCTTTCTAAAGGAAGGGCTAAACTGATTGAGCTAGCCAACCTTGCACTGCACTGATATGGAAATGAAAGAAGAAAGAGCTTGACCGATGCTACTATAACCAAGCCTTACCTTCCAGCATATTCAACTGATTTCCTTACTTTAATATATCATGAAAGTTGAAAGAGCTTGGGTGGGGTAGTTAATACCTACCTGGCTTGCCTTATTCCTTCTTTCTTCCCGTGGACGGACTCTCTTGCTCTGTTCCCTTTCTGATCCTTTTTCCTTGGTCTTCAAAGGGTATGCAGAATAGCATCCCTTGTAAGTACTATTGATTGCCTTGTAATCTTCATTAAAGTCGAATTTAAAATTTGTGGTATTATACACCAGTTTGCTTTCTATATGTTCCCTTCATATTAGAAGCTGATTGGGCAATTGAGAACAATGTTATCAAGAACTCTAGTGGATACAAATTCTATAAGCTCTTAATTGAAAGTTGAATAATTGTATATTAGAATAAAGAAAAGAAAGAAAAGAAGAATAGAGGAAGAAAGATAGAATGAAACAATACTGTGGATAAGGAGTATGTTGCCAACATCCTATCACTTATTATTTATATTATATTCATATTGAAGACAATTACAATATTAGGAAAGTAGAACATAATAGAAAAGTAGAACAATAAGAAAGTAACACTCTTAATACTCTCCCTCAAGGTAGAGCATAGAGATAAAATAATGCACACCTTGGAATAATGGCTACTAAGTAGATCATCGCAATGATTTGGTGAGAAAATCACTGAGTTGACCGCAATATTTCCATATACACAATTGGGATGACAAAATCTCTGGGTGACTCCCTCAGGCCATTCAACGACTTCTTTAATTGACACAAACTACTAAAATATTCCCTCTAAGTAACAAATCTAGGTAGTTGCTCCATGTGAAGTGTAAGGCATCACTTTGGATTTCTAGAGAAGTAATTAATGACCATACTAAAATAAGCAATAGCAAACAACAATCACGACAACACAAAGGAAAAGAGAACACAATGATGGCAAAGGACAAACACATTAGCACCACCACCACCAACTATATCGACATAAACGAATACAATCAACAACACCACAACGAGCCACAAACTACAACAAATTAAATTTCAACAATTAAAAACAAGGTAAACAAAGTTGAACTGGAGTTGAATTAGCCGTTCTGAAAACCACAAAACCAATATTAAACTGGGATGTGGGATGAAAACCACTAAACCAGCATCAAACTATATCCAAAAACAATGAACCAACACTAAAGTAGGTTGAAAACACTGAATCAGAATTAAATCAGGGTGAAAACCACTAAACCAACACTAAACTGTGCAGAAAGTCACTGAACCAACACTAAATTGAGTTCAAAACACTTAATCATAATTAAATAGAGATGAAAACCACTAAACTAGCACTATATTGGCCCGAAAACTACTGAACCAACACTCAACTGAGCTAAAAATATTAAAACATAATTGAATTAGATGAAAACCACTAAAGCAACACCAAACTGGGCCAAATATCACTGAACTGACACTAAACCAGACTGAGGACACTAAAATCTATACCAATGATTAGACACCAGAGACACGAACATGGATTCTGGCACCTTACGACAACTAATAATGATCATAGTAGCTGATAAATAAACGCAAACGATT